ATATTGACTCAACTGGACGTGTAGTCTTAAAACAAGCAATGTACTCAGCTTCTATAGATGAAATTGTTGTAACTATTTGTTTCACACTTTTTCAAGAAACGGCTTCTCCAGACAACACGAAAATATAGCCAGTCGTGGACTTACTATCATCCAGATAGGAGGCAAAATCTGAATTTGAAAAGCTAACAATTTCAAGATCTTCTAATCCTTTAAAGTCATAATCAGAATACCCAACAACCTCAAGAGAATTTGACCTTCTGTAAGTCAACATATAATTCTTCGTACCTTAAAGATACCTCATAACCTTTTTAGCAGCCTTCTAATGATTTAAACTTGGATCATTTAAGTATTGACCCAGCACTCCAATAGCAAAGGCTATATCTAGTCGAGTACACACTTGAACATACATAAGGCTGTTGACAGCGGAAGTGTATGGTATCTTTCTCATTTCAGCCCTCTTCTTATCATCCTTGGGACATTATAACTCTGATAATAGCTCACATTTCTGTACAAGAGCAAGTGAGGAAGAACATGAATTCATTCTGAATCTCTTAAGTACCCACTCAATATAGGTGATCTGTGATAAATCAAGAACACTATGAGATCTATCATGATGAATCTATATCCCAAGAACGAAGGAGGCTTCACCCATGTCCTTCATGTCAAAATGGCAAGACAATAGGTGTTTTATCTCATTGAGGAAAATAATTGAATTGTTGGCTAACGAGATATCATCAAAATAGAGAACAAGAATAGCAAAATTGTTCCCATCAAACTTCTGATAGATACACTGATTTAAGACATTCTCAACAAAATCGAGCGAGGTGATAACTTCATCAAACTTTAGATACCACTGCCTAGAGGCCTGTTTTAGTCTATAGATGGATCTCTTCAATCTGCACACTAGATGTTCTTTATCAGATTCAAAAAAACCATTAGGTTGTGTCATGTAGATTTCTTCATACAAATCGCCATTCAAGAATGCAGTCTTGACATCCATCTGATGAAAATCAAGATCAAATTGTGCAACTAAAGCTATCACCACTCTAAAAGCATCTTTGGTAGATGCTGGAGAGAAGGTCTCTGTATAATCAATACCTTCTTTCTGGTTGTAGCCCTTAGCTACAAGTCTGGCTTTGTATCTATCAATTTCTCAACACATAAACTCACACAACACAATTACTCCATAATTTAATACATAATTCATCACAATTCTCCACCCATAGTAATAAATTACAAGTAATTTTATAAAACATCAAGGGTGATAGAATCAAGGTTTTCTCTTCTCTAAAACCATTTCACAATTAAGTATTTGTCAATATGCATCATTAATTTAAACTCATAAATTACATTTCACAAACACAATTAATATTCAACTATAAAAATAGTCGAAGGTGTGATAGGTCCACAGATGTCAGTATAGATTAGGTCTAAAGTGTTTTCAAACCTCTTTGCCCCTTTGGTTCTAGCTCTAGCAGGGAATTTTTTCTTTATACAATCAACATAAATCTCAAAATTTGAGAAATCAAGGTCTTGCAAGACACCTTGCTTGGTCATGCGTTCTAATCTCTCTCTAGAGATATGACCTAAACAATGATGCCATAACATGGAGGAATTATCATTAGGCCTTTGACATTTATGCCTAATAGTAGCATTGATATAGAGATTAGGCAGTTCAAGTGACCAATCATTCAATTGATATAAACCATATATTAAGGAAGCACAACCAACATTAATAGAATTAAAACAAATATCAATTTTTCTATTTCCTTAGAAGAATGAATAGCCACAAATATCCAATGCAGAAGTTGAAATTAAATTCCTATTCACAGAAGGTACATAAACAACATTGTTGAAATTTAAAACATGACCAGAATTTAAATATAAAGAAATAGTTCCAATGCATTCAACTGATGTCTTGCTCCCTACTATGCTAAAGACTGAACTTTGTGCCTCATTTGGAACCTTCTGGTTTCTTGGCCCTTATAGAGAATTCACAACATGTACAGTGGCACCAAAATCCAGCCATTATGAGTCAAAGGAAGTTTTAATGGTGTTAGATTCAAAACAAACTAGAGCTAGAGGGGCAATTTGAAGAATTATACCTTCATTTTCTTGTTTGTTCTTCAGTTTGAAGCAATTAGCTTTAATGTAATCCGATTTCTTATAATAATTGCATAACCCCTTAAAGGATTTCTTCCTCAGCTTCTCACTCTTATCACTATCCTTCTTAAAAGTTGGATTATTAGGCTTTGGGGCCTCATGCTTCTTCCCCTTTTTCTTATATGACCCTCCAGATTTGCCATTAGAGTCATGAAAAACATAGTTTACTAAGTGAGAGGAATTCTTCTTTATAGCTTCCTCTTCTTGAGTGACTATTGATATCATCTGCTGATCATTCAGCTTCTTGTGAGTTGTATGACATCCTCAAGAATGCGTACTCCGATGGTAGTGATTGAAGAACATGGTAAACTAAAGTACTTTCACCTAAGTCAATTCCATATGATTTAAGCATGTTATAGTAATGAACAAGCTTCAGAATGTGCTCTCTAACATCAAAAACTCCATCATATCGATTATTGTCAAGAAGTGACAAATAATAGTTCTTTTGAGTCTTATCAAGCTTCTTGTATTTGTTACCAACAGCTTTCAAGAATTCCACTGTAGTATCCTTTTTAGGAATGCTGTCCCTAATTTCTTTTTCAATTGTGTACTTGATGATCGCTAGACAGATTCGGTTAGACTTACTCCATTATTTATGAAAGGCCATTTAGAAGCACTGGACTCAAAAGAGAGATCCACAGGCTTGGGTTCTTTCAGAGCTAAATCTTTCTCAGAAATGGTCAGATACATATTCAGGGACTCCTTCCAGTTATCATAGTTAGTCTCATTGAGAGCCTTCACAAAGGATAGTTGCACAAAAGCAGAAACTGAAATCGTAAAACAGAAAATGGGAAATATTAATTATGCATGCACAACATAATTATAAAATAGAATTTCCCAACAAGTGATTATCAATTATGAAACTATAATCATGCACCAAGAAGGCTTAAATACCATAAAAATTTAGCTTATACAAAAGTTCATACAAAATAATGCATTAAACATTTCCATACCTATAGGGTACAACAAATATCTAACACATTAAAGGAGTACTATTAGCCTATCCTCAAAACCAACCATCAAAATCACATTAATAATGTCACACCTATGGGGTATGTCCATTATCAATGCTATAAGATTCTAAGCATAATCAATAATTCACAAAGTCATAAATTTTATGACCTTAGGGTAAAACACAATAATTTCAAAAGTCTTTGGGGTCTTTTGGGAATTAAGGAATAAATTTAGGATTTAGGTGAAATTTTGAAAGGTGTCCAGGGATAAATAGGAAATTCTGGAAGAGATTTGGGTTAAAATTACAATTCTAAAAGTTAAGGGACTAAACTGTAATTTCTAGGAATATCCTGGGGTCACGACATAAATCCCTGAAAAAAGGGCCAAGTGATGTAATTTAAACTGGGCCAAAAAATGTAATTAACAGAAACTAAATATATTTTTTATAGTACTACTGGGCTAAGGTTATAGCCCAGTATTGTTAAGTGAAATGGTCCGTTTCACTTTTGGCCCAATTTCCATTTTTTTAATAGATTTGGGCCCAAACAAAATTTTGGGCCCAAAACCATGAAACCAGATCCCTAGGATCTGGTTTCTGACCTATTGCTACATCTTCTAGTTGTCGCGAGCTGCAAAAGCCATGGATAAGAGTACGCTGCGACGGCACCAAGAACCAGTTGACGACCATGACGCTGGTGACCATGTAATGCCGTACCAGAATGCTGGTACCTTTTTCGGCGACATGAAACTGATTCAAACAACGTGACAACATGAACCAGGACTGCGAGAAAATGAATCTATAGCAACCAGAACAACGGCACGATGCCACCGCCACCGCCATAAAGGAGCAGCAACTGTCCGCGACTCCGATAGCTCCTCTGAGGAGAGAACGACGCCTAAAGACCATGCTGCTGCAAATCAAAAACACCATGGGAAAAGCTACGGTACGATAGTGCCATAAGGAAGATGACGTTGAAGAATCCATTGATAGTGAAGGCAAGGATAAAGAAAGATTTGCACAATAAATGAATTACGAGTCTTGAATAATATGAAGAGTCAAGACTAGAATTACAATAAAAAAAATCTCACATTCACTTTTAATCACAAGATAGAATGAGAATTAGCAAGATATGAGGAGTTCATAAATCTCAGCGTGCGCATAAGATAATGAATCAAGATATATATAATTAATATTCATACAACCTCGCTCTGATGCCACGCGTTATATTTTTATATTTCAATTCATATGAACAAGTAAAGTAATGTATGCATACCTGAAGAATTCATGAGTACTTGAGAAAGCTCGATTACCTCGAGTGTAGACAGATGCACAACCCACTGGTCCTCAGAGTCTTCAGAGAGTGTAGAGATAATGGAGCAGAAGAAAATGAGTCGTGTGTATGGGGGTTATTGATTGATTGACTTATAAGAATCAGATCGGTAATTGCCTTATTAAGTGATTAAAATAATTATATTATATTATTTTGACTTAGTCAGTTAAGAGATAAGGAATAACTGACGGCTACTGGGTTGTGGGTTGGGCCTCTGCCCGTTGGGCTCACTTGGATGGTCCACCTATCACTGTCCACACAAGATCATAAAGACAAATCTGTTTAGGCTTTTTAATTAATGTTAATCTATAAATAATATTCCAATATGTTTTGCTTCCCAAGATGAATTCTTTTATATATGTTTTGATGCATGACTTCATTTATATTGTAATGCAAATTAGTTTTTATTTCCTCAACACTTTAATTTGCATATATAGAGTTTTTTTTAATATATCAAATATTTGCACTTAAATCTTTCATTTAATTATTAGGCTGGAGTACATTAATGAAATCCCACATAGACAGACTTTAATTAACTTCTATCCATGTTAGATGGAGGGCTTCCTACTTGACCTTGCAAAGAATGAAGTCCAAAGTTTAGTGAATCTAGTGAAAAATGAAGTTCAATATTTATGTTGTTTCAATAGTTATGTTGAAATTTTTGATCGGGAAAAGGAAAAACTAGTTGCAAAGCATCAAGATATGAAGAAAAAGTTTCAAAGAGGCAAAGGTGTTTTCAGTTTCAAGCTTGAAGCACAGCAATGGGAACACGAAGCAAATGGCATCATTAATATAGACACTAAAATAAAGAAGAAGTTCTTTTTTGGCCGGTGTCCTAATTGCTTTTGGAACTATCAAAGAGGAAAGGAGTTAGCAGAGAAGACCAAGCAGATTGAAGAGTTATTGGAAAGATGTAACTCTAACATAGTAGCTAATCGAGCAAACATATCAAACCTAAAATGCCTTGCTTCACAAGATTTCATTCATTTTAAGAGCAGAGAATCAAAGTTTGAAGACCTAATAAAGGGATTCCAAGATGGTAATTGCAATATGATGGGATTGCATGGGATGGGCGGAGCTGGCAAAACTTCAATGGCAAAAGAAGTAGGTCATAAGCTAAAAGAATGTAAAGTAATTGACAAAGTCATTTTTCTTGTTGTGTCTAAGCCTCCTGATTTTAAAAAGATTCGAGGCGATCTTGCAAAAGGTTTAGATTTGGATTTAAAGGAAGTGAAAGAAGAAGAACTCTCAGATAGAATATTGTCCAAAATCACTAAGATGGAAGAAAGCTTGCTTATAATATTGGACGATGTGTGGGAAAAGTTTGATTTGATTGAAAACTTGGGGATTCCATCTGACTATCAACACAAGGGCTGTAATTTATTAATAACCACATGTAGTTTAAGAGTTTGTACAGAAATGGGAGGCCAAATAATTGAACTGCAGACTTTGAATGATAAAGAGGCATTGGATCTTTTTAAAGTACATGCAAGTATTAATAATTCCTCCCGTGGTTTGAAGGGCATGCCAGAAAAAATTGTCAAGCATTGTGGAGGAGTACCAGTTGCAATTGTAGCGATTGCACGAGCTTTAAGACATCAGCCTCTGATACTTTGGAAGGATGCTTTGAAAACATTAGAAGATGGTGGTGACACTACGGAATTGCAAGATGCTTATAAATGTTTGAAGTTAAGCTATGATAACTTGAAAAATGAAAAGGCTAAAGAATTGTTTTTGATATCTTCTTTGTTCCCAGAAGATTTTGAAATTCCAATAAAACTTTTAACCACAATCGGTATAGGATTAGGTTCTTGGGGGGGAAATGAAAAATACTGTTCAAAAAGAAGTGTTGTGCATGAAGCAATAATGGAACTCATGGATTGTTCTTTATTGTTCAATGGTATAGAAGAATGTGTAAAAATGCATGATTTAGTTCATGAAGTGGCATTGTGGATAGGAAAAAAAGATATTCAATCTATCATGCATTCAAAACTGGCTATAATCAAGAACCTAAGATATTTGCTTTGGAAGGGTGTTAGTTTTCTTAATGAATTTGATGGAACAAAATTGGAGGTTCTATCAATCATTCAAGATGGTAATGATTTTGAAGTCCCAAATACATTCTTTACGGAGATGAGAAGGCTCAAAGTATTAATTTTATCTAGTTACCTTGGTGCAATTCCCTTTTTTTCAAATTATGGTGTTCATAAAATTCCAGCTCTATCATTGACAAATTCACTCCAATCATTAAAGGATATTCGAACACTCATCTTAAAAAGTTTGGACTTAGGTGACATTTCTATCTTAGGAAACTTGTTGAGTCTTGAGACTCTTTGGTTTTTGTGTTGTTCAATCATTGAATTACCAAGAGATTTTGTGAACCTAAAGAAGTTGAGATCATTGTGGCTAAAAGAATGTAAAATTGAAACGAATAATCCTTTTAAAGTGATTGAAAGATGCTCAGAACTGGAAGAATTAACTTTCATTGCTAATGAGTTTGATGCCAAAGAAAAAGATGAAATTTCTCAAAATGGATCTCCTCTTACACTACATAGATATCAAATATCTTTCGGTGACCTTTCTTCTTACCTTGAAAATTATGGTTCCATGCTAAGATATTTTCAAGTAGATGATTTGAGGCATTCAATGTCAGAAGCAACATTTAAGCATCTTGTGGGAATAGCTGAACTTCTTATCTTTGATGAAAGCTGTACTAGAACAATATGGAAAAATCTTATTCCTGATATTATTCCAATAGACAAGGGAGGCATGATGAATGATTTGATTACTCTTCATTTGGGATCTATGTCCAACTTCCAATGCCTCATTGAGATTGAAAATCATAATTATGATGTGAGTGCTTTCTCTAATTTGGCTGAACTACATCTTTCTAAAATGGATGTTGAAGATTTATATCGAGGTTCTTTGCCATCTGGTTTTTTGGAGCAGCTAGAGATTCTGACGCTGGTGGATTGTCCTAAATTGAAGAACGCATTATTTAATGGCAACTTAAAACTAGATAATCTGAAGTCCTTGGAAATGAGAAATTGTCCGTTGTTGACATCAATATTCCAACCATCCACCGCTGAAACTCTGATGAAATTGGAAGAGTTAGCGATTGAACACTGCAATGCATTGGAATACATAATCACAGATACAAGTTCGGGAGGGGAAAGAATGAATGATGATGGTGAGAAAGATCGAAAGAGATATGACTCACTATTCGAAAAACTAAAAACTCTTCAAATTTCAGGTGTACCAAGTTCAATTGGAACTTTCAGGGAATATCACCACCCAATGAGTTCATCATTGCAAAAACTATCATCTACACTTTCAGCAAATAATTCTAAGGAAACACTTCAAAATCCTACTACAAGTGCTTTCTCTTGGGTACAAGCGTGTTGTTTTCGAAATAAACCGTGGGCCACAAGTGGAGAAGAGACCAGTTTTGCTGATGATAGCAAGAGATTAGTCCACCACACAATCTCACAGGTATGCTACACTTGTCTCCTTATTCTTGTTCAATGTTTCTAGTATATATTTAACACGTTCGATGAGTAAAATAGTAAATTATTGACAATTTATAAACGTGGTTAAGAATAAAATAAAAAGGTATGAGTTTTATAATATTTAATGCATTGTAATCGGTGTGCAATACACTTCAAGATTTTGAGCTAAAATATGTTGTTGAAAAAAAAAAAAAACCCATCATGGGCATAATTTATCAACTTAGAATTAAATGGATGAGTTGTATACTTTGATCTCCCTGATTTTGAGTGTTTTACTTTCCTTCCCTTTTTATGGTTAAGAAATGCAATTTTAAATCTTTTACGGATACCAATGTGTGTTCAGATGGAAGACAGTTGAATTTGAATACCACAAAGGCAGTAATTGATTTAAATTGGAAAGATTTACTGAATTTTTACTTAAAATTTTTATTTACGAAGTATTAATTTTTTTTGCCTTAGTGTTCGATATTTGGAACGAAAGGATGAAAAGAATAAACAGTTATTTTGATTTACAGTTATGTTTTGATATTATTTGCTATATCTAAATATATTAAATTATCCAAACAGTTAACTATCATCATCCAACTCAATCCATATAAATCTTTCAAATATAAAGGGCTGAACAAAATTCTCCTTCGTATTTTTTATATTTGAGAAAACTTATATACTTGAGGTGTTTGTATCCAATTAAATCAAGATATGAAGATTTTTTATAGATTATTTATTCTATAATAAATTCTTGTTATTCATTAAACTAATATATTAAGATCTGCATGTTATAATTTGATTAAATATAAGTATATTAAATATATAAAACTAAGTAAATGAGTATTGCCTTTTTATATTTTATCCTAAAGATCAATAATTCTGAATTTATTCTCATAATTTATATTTTTTTACATGTCACCATAAACCCAGAGAGAGGGAGAGAGCGGGGGTCCAAAGGAGTAATTGGCTATTATAGATCTTGTAATTTCAAAAATCCTTTGACCACTTCTTAACTCCATATTTGTAACTATTTACTTACTATTTTATGGGAGACAATTATATATTTTAAAGTTTCTGTACACAAATATTTTTTCAAAATATTGTAATTACAATTCTCAAGTAATAACATGCCGAGATAAAATAAAAAATTTTTTAAACATTTTTCCACAACAAATTGAAGAACAGAACAAGATATACCAACATCCTAATATCACCAAGAAAATAACTAGCACTAATAATTGGAAGGAGAACAATACACCCGTTTGCAAAATATTAGCACTAATTGAAAATTTCTGTAATGTATTATTGTTATAGTATATGAATGAATTATGTGTTTGTAGGAAGTATCAGATGCATCCACAGATGGAGTTCCTCCTTTTCATGCAGCTCAAAGCCTTTTGGTGACATCATTGAAGAATGTTACGGAAATAGAACCTGTGGAATGTGGGAACTTAATATCATTGTCAACTCTATCTGCTGCCGCCTCAGCAATCTCATTGGAAAATTTGATTATCAGTGACTGTCATAAACTGAAGTGCATCACAACACATGAGGGAGACGATCAAGTTGATGATAATAATTACTGTTCCATTTTTCCAAGATTAGAGAATCTGCAAATTGAGGATTGCAAGGAGTTAGAACTTTTATTTACATCAGCGATATCTGGAGGGCTTGAAAAATTGAAGACTTTGACTATCTTGAACGTTCCAGAACTAAAATATGTTGTTGGGAAGAACAATGAGGAGCAACATTCATCTTATCAGAATCAGCATGATGAGCTGCATTTCAATCTTCCTTCTTTAAAGACCTTTTTCATTGAATATGCACCTAAGATCAACAGCATTTGTGCCAAGAATTATAAATTGGTTCTGTCATCTCTTCAGAAACTTGATCTAAATGAGTGTAGCATCAAATCTTTGAATGATTTGACGAGTTGTTCATATGAAGAGCAAGTGAATAGGAAAACTACAAAGGTAACACTCCTTTCACCTTGATACCATTCATCATGTTATTTTGATGTAATAAACTTCAAAAATTAGTTTTTGAGAGCAATTAGTTGGGCTCATCAAAATGACTCTTTGGGAATAATTTGGGCTAATTATAATGATTGAGCAAAGTTTTACGTATATAGACTCGCACACTGTATATCCAATATGAAATCTTGAGACTAAGGATGTTTCCTATACCTTAGTGAAAATAATTATAGTGATTTTTTAAGAAAATATACTGGATAAAAAAAATTAGTTTTTTTTTTTAAATTAATCAGTAGCAAATAGTGTACACTAGTTAAGCTAAACCGTCTTATACTATATTATATATTAAGATTTTGCATATTCGTATACAAATATAATAGATAAAAAATATTTTATCGTAAAAAGATAAAATTAAAGTAATAATGTAGAAATATACATATGCAACAGTTTTTAAGCTAGTCAGCATTGACCGCTGCTTTAACATTTGTTATGTAATACTCCCTTCATTTAAAAATGTAAGTTATTTTTAACTAAATCTCATCCCTGATGAAATAGTTACCTACTATCAAACTAACCCTATCTTTTTATATTTATTCCTATTAAATACTCTACAATAAATATAAAATCATTCACAAATAGGGGCGCTTTTGAAAAAAAGTAATGATTACACCTTAAAAAATTAAAAATGTCTTACATTTTTGAATATCCAACTCCTAAAAAATGTCTTATATTTTTAACTGAGGGGGTATATATTTCTGCTATTTATTCCAATTTTTCATTTCAGTGTTGTTTAATTTAAGGGCTTTTCTTTTCCAAAACCACCCATCTTTTGAACGTTATTTTTACTTCATATGTAATTAATTACTTATCAATATATTTTATGCGAGACAACTATGCATATTTTAAAGTTTCTGTTGTCAAGTTCTTCTTGGGCCATAGTTCAAGAGTTGTATTTTGTCACAAACATTGGTCTTGAATATTAATGTGTTTATTTGTAGGAATTACATGCACCTGCAGATAGAGACACCCTCACTTTCTTGTTAGGCAAATCAGACTCGAAGAATCGACCATAAGAAAATGTCATAAACTGAAGTGCATCACAGCACATGAGGGAGATGCTCAAGTTGATAAGAATTACTGTTCCGCTTTTCTAAGATTAGAGATTCTGCATATCGAGTATTGCGAGGGGTTGGAGTGTTTATTTCCATCAGCAGTATCAGGAGGACTTAAAAAATTGAAGTTTTTGACTGTCAAAAAATGCCATAAACTGAAGTGCATCACAACACAGGAGGGAGATGCTCAAGTTGATAAAAATTACTGTTCCATTTTTCCAGGATTAGAGAATTTGCATATTGAGGATTGCAAGGAGTTAGAACTTTTATTTACATCAGCGATATCTGTTGGACTTGAAAAATTGAAGTCTTTGACTATCAGGGAAGTTCCAGAACTAAAATATGTTGTTGGGAAGAACCATGAGGAGCAACATTCATCCTGTCAGAATCAAAATGATGAGCTTCATTTCAATCTCCTAGCTTTGGAGACCCTCTGTATGTATGACGCACCAAAGTTTAACAACATTTGCACCGAGAATTATAAACTGGTGTTGTCATCTCTTCATAATGTTAATATGTGGCATTGTGGCATTAAATCTTTCACTGAATATAATTTGGTGAACTGGAGAACAACAGAGGTACACTATTTTTTGCCTTCGTATGATTTGTTCTGTTTTGATCATGTCAATTAGAAGTAGTGTTTCATCAAAATCAAATTGTTTACAACTCTCTTACAACATATGGTAAGTTTTTTTCCGGGCATGGTAGCATGATAATTCCAGGGGTCTAATTAGTTTTTTCTTAAAAAAGAAAAGACTTTGAACAGAGTACAATGAGAGGTCTAGTAAATTTATTTTTGGGATTTGAACAGAGTACAATGAGAGGTCTAGTAAATTTATTTTTGGGAATTAAGGTTAGCTTTCAAAACACTCTACTTTTCATTGGATTGATGTACATTGGTGCTATACGATGAAGACACATGATTGTCATGACTGAGAGTATAGTTTTGATTTCATTTATAACAGTAGTTAGATAACTAGCGCACTTTTTTTACAATGGAAATCAAACTATTTTTTTTTTCTATTTAATATCTTGCTAGTATTGTATATTTCTTTAACCAAAATACCTCATATATTATTGCATGCATATTGAGATCTTAATGATTTATTGGCTTGCAGGGATTAGATGCATCCACAGATGGAGTTCTTTTTCATGCAGCGCAAAGCCTTCTGATACAATCATTGAAAAATATTAGGAAAATGATACTTGTGGATTGCAAGAACTTAATATCTCTACCCATTGCATCAACAATTTTGTTGGAAGATTTGACAATCAAATATTGTGATCAGCTGAAGTGCATTGCCGCAGATGTGGAAGATGCTGGAACTCAAATGAACTACAATTCCATCTTTCCAAAGTTAAAACATTTAGATGTTTCACACTGTGATGCCTTGGAATATTTACTCCCAGTATATGCTTTTAGATCTCCTATATATTTGGAATGTTTGAAAATAGATGGGGCTCCTATGCTGAAATATGTGTTTGGAAAAAGCCAACATGAAGACAATTTAACTCATGAGAATCAAAATATCCGAACTGATCACGTTGATTTCCCTGCTCTAAAAGATCTTTCGATTCGGGATGTGCCAAAACTTGTAAGCATTTATCCTAAAAGCTACTTTATCTCTAAAGAGTGTTGCTTTGAAAGAGTTCATAATGAGACTTTTCAATGAGTTTTTGGTTTGTTGGCCTGCAAAACAAGAAAAAAAGGTATGACTCTATTCAAATTTAATTTCCTTCTTGTCCTTCTCCCTGTCCCTGTCCCCCAATTGATAAGTTATATTTTAACAATGTTTCATGGATTATGTAGGCGATTGAGATGAACTGGCAAACTTTAGAATCTCTCAGTGTTTGTGACTCCAAAACAGAAGAAATTTTTAATTTGAGACATATGGATATGGAGAAAAATGGGAAAGCACTTGAACCATTGACATCAAGCTTACAATCATTGTACTTGAATTGTCTAAGTGAGTTGGTGAATATATGTGTGGGGCCTAAACACATCATCGGCTTCCATAGTCTTCAGCGGCTAAGCATTACTAAATGCAAAAAGCTTAAAGTTATTTTCTCCTCACCTATATTGAAAAGCCTACCAACGTTGAAATATCTAAAAATATCAGAATGTGAAGAATTAATGCACATTATTGAAGAAGATCGGGAAACAAATGGCGATGATAGCTTGCATCATGAACCATGCTTTCCCAAATTAGCGATTGTCTCTGCTGAGAATTGTCACAAACTGAAGTCCCTGTTCTCTATCACAATCTCTGATACCCTTCCAGACCTGTTTTATTTGAGTATAGGGAAAGCCTATGAACTTGAGCATGTACTAATAAGAAGAGGTGAGATGAAAGAGATTGTCATGAAAGATGTTCTTCCACAACTACGAAATTTGAGACTAGTAGAGCTTCCAAACCTCATTAGTGTCTGCTATGGGATCGATTTTCGACTTTTGAAAGAAGATTATGGAATGCATGTGGATGATTGTCCCAACTTTTCTTTTTACGGTATGCACCCATAGAAGTACTTCTTTAAATTGAAAATTATTGTGCGAGTTTTAATATATTATCAAAAACCACTTTCAGAAACTTTGACTATTCAGCTTCCACAAGATCCTGAAACTGTAGATTCTAAAGCAGAGGAGAAGCTATTGTCACATCTGAGTGGTTTAGCATCCCCCACGAAGGTATGATTTTGATTGCTAATGGCACCAATTTACTACTTCTCTTTCTTATTTTGTGGCAATTGTCAGGATATTCAGGAAGCAACAGAGGAAATCATTGAAGAGGATTTTATTTCTGAAATGGCAAAAACAACAATTTTATCATCTGATACAAAACTCATGGGACAACTTGTATGTGTTTTCTAATCCCTTTATTATTATTTTTTAATATCTAATGAGCTGTTGGTCAGAGTATAAAGAATCAATAATATCCTTTTTACAAGGAATTTAAAAAAGAAAAAAAAGGCAAGGCATAGAAAAAGATTTCAATGTGTAACGGAAGCAAATAAAATAACTTATTCCCCTTGCATATTCTTGTTCATACAGGATGACGAGATTGCTGGAAAAGAAGTGAAAAATGAAACAAACATGATGGATCCCCTACAACTAACAATTGGCACTCCAAACTTCACAGAGGTATATCTGATGTCTCTGACATGTACAATCATTTTCTTTTTGTGTTTCAAAGTTGTCATATGAAGTGAGATAACTTCCTTTCTAAATCCAGTTGCTGGAAGAAAAATATGGAATTTGAAGTCCATATTTAAAATGCCAACAGTGTACTCATATATATTCCAATTTTTTAATGAGTCTGACACGAACAATTAAAAAATGTATTCAAGAAAGAAATTAAAGTATCATGATCAATAAGCAATCACTACAAGAAACCAGACATGACATGACATACACAATCTCATGATTCGAAAAATGTTTACATTTCATTGATGATTAAAATTCTAATGTTTTAATATGATACATATCAAACTTGCATGCCATTGGTTTTGTGTAGATTATTGAAGTAAGAGCTAAAGAAGGTATTTCATCGAGGACCTTGCATCATAGCTCCTTGGCTTTTGAAAAGGTGGGCTTCATGCAACAATTTCAGCATTTAAGATACTTCTTATCGGTAAAATAATGACCATTTCTTTCCAATAGAAGGTGGCGAGTCATACAAGTCTCAACCTCACATTTATTCCTACAACAGACAACACTCCTGTAAGTGCCAAGATTTTTGAAGAGGAAGAGGAAGAGGAAGAGGGAGGTAAAATATATATTGATGTCTTAGCTTCATAGAAAATATTGCTCATTCATTTTGGGCTTTATCGGTGGCTTGATAACATCTCGATGTCCCCGAAGTGGCATGAAAGCTAGCAGCTCTTTGCCAGAGGAGAAGATTGAAACCCCTATTAGTGGTACTTTTTTCTTTCTTTGAATAATATCTTTCACCCTTTGATTTGATATAAAATTTTTTTTATAGAAGACTCATTTGTGCAACCCGTGACAATTATTTTGAGTGAGCAAACTTCTGAGACAATCTTGCCATTGAGTCCTATTTCATCATCAAAAGCGTCAACAAGTCTCAACCAAATCCCTTCATCTAATCTACCCAGGCCTTCTGATGGTAAGTTTCTTTTAAGTCATCTTTTATTGACATTTCACACAATCATTTATACATTCACTTGTAGCGAGGGACTTGCTAGAAATGTCATTATTTCTACCCATGGTAAGTCATTATTTCTTTCAACTATTTTTTTAATATCTTTCATTCCAATATTGCTTATTAATTTAGAAGAAAATTAAAATGGTGCTGATTCCACTAACTAGAAAACTTATTGCTGAAGATGATGTTCAAGTTTCAGATAAGTCTCATGCACTAGCGATTGTCTCAAGTGGAAGTGGCAATCTTGTACCTATTCCACATTCAACCACTTTGTTTGAGGGTGTTGACAAAGGGGACATCAAGGAAGCAGGCATTGAATCTAAGTCGAATGTTGAACCAAGTAACTTGATACAAAGGGAACAAGAGTCATCATATTCTAAAGGTTATTTACCTATTCCCTCTACTGTTGAACATGTAGCATTGGCAGACTTGAATATTCTATCTTGTCATTCATGTGACCGTATCTCGTTCTGCATAGTTGGTTTTATTATCCTCATTTTCTAATTTGGTGATTTTTTTTTTGGGAAAAATTCAAACAACAAATCAATTAACAGATTCACAACCAAGAAGAACAATGCCAACACCTTTTGTTATGATTCCACAAGATGAATCCTCAAAGGTAATAATATTGTTATGTCGTTCATAAGATTTATGCTATATAACTTGCTTATTCTTCTTCATATTGGATGAGTTGGTCTGCAGAGATGTTGAAAAAAAAAAAAACAAATACAGTGGATCCTCATTCTCTCCATGGGGAAACAAGACTGGACATGCAATCTAATCAATTGAAAAATGTTAAAAAAATTCATTGAGGATTATATATTTATGATGCTTTACTATCTTAGAAGAAACCAGCTTAAATATCTTTAGTGGCTTGGTATGCAGATTGTTGAAGTAAGAGTTGAAGAAGGTGGTTCATTAGATCTAGAGCCCCCACATCCAAGCACCTTAACTTCTAAAAAGGTGAGTTTCTTCCAACAATTTTACAATTTATAGATTTGTTATTTCTATATTAACAATGATGAATGGTTTATTTGCACAAGGAACCTATTCCTACTATTCTCCCTAGAAGCCAAAGACCAAGTCCAACTGTGAAAACTTTTGAAGAGGAAGAGGAAGAGGAAGGTAAGATGTTAGTGATGTCCTAATTTCAAGGTTTATAGATCCTTTAACTACCCATAGACATCAAAGTGGCATGAAGGCAGTGAGTTCTTTTCCAGTAGGAAAAGAGCACAAGACTTCTAATCATGGTACCAATTGAAATCTTTCATGCTTTGATTTGCTAACTATTATATTTATGCACTTAATTTGTTATAGGTGACCCTTTTATGCCAACAATGCCAGTTATTTCATCAAGCAAGCAATCTTCTGAGACAATCTTACCATTGAGTCTTGTAACATCAAAAGCGTTAACAAGTCCTAAGAAAACTCCCATGTCCACTCCCTCTGAGTTTACTATTGGTGAGTTCCTTTGCTGTCTTTCTTTTAATAACTTTTCTTTATTATTTTCTAATGTTAGAAAGATTTCATATTCTAATTGCTTCATTCAGGAAGAAACGTCGAAGAGAATGCTGGAAGCACTAACAAGCCTTTGCATGAAGCTTTGGGTGCCATTCAAATTTCTAGTAAGCCTCGTGCCCTTACCATCACATTTTGCTTTTATTATTCTCGACTTGATTTCTTCATGGAATCTATGAGTCTTTGGACTCTTCAACCAGTTTTTCTATATTTTATAATTCACTTGCTAACGTGATGCTTTTGCTAGGTCAACCTCGTGAATGTGACCCATCAGAGATGGCTCCTACTTTTTGTGGGACCAATAATGATTTGAGTGTACCTGGAGTGCGGGAGATAGTTGATATGATGAAACTAGATGATTTTGAGGCTTCCTTGCTGGCAAAGACATTCCAGGCTCACCCCATACTACGTCTTTCTTCGGAGTATCGAAGCACTGAGTTGTTATGCTTCTCCTATAGGGTGTTGCTAAAAATCTTGAACATTCTAGCCACTAGGAGTCCCTTCACAATCACCGAGGCAGACAAGAGATTGTTAACAAAGTATTTAAATGACGCTTCTTCTATAGGTTTTGACAAAGATTGGCTTGAGTCTATCAGAACCAAGGTTTTCAATTTTGATGTGTCTGAAGTTCAACGCATGCAAGAGGTTCTAAATGATTTGGGCAATAAGCTTCAGACCAAAAAGACAGAACTTGCCATTGTTGATGATCAAGAGGATAAAACTACAAAATCAGCAGAGATGGCTCGAAAAGAATTAGAGGCAGCTCAATGCCATTTTAACATTGCACAGCAAGAGCATGTAAATGCTAGGGATCGTCATTATCAACTTTTAAAGGAATGCCAAGATATTCTAGAACAACGTGATCAATGTTTGGAAGCAATTGCTGCCAAATTTAGGCATTTTGGCTTTTAATTAGCACAATTTATAATTTTAATTTGTTCCCATTATGCTTATTAACCTGCTTTTATTTCTCAAAAGATATTATTTTATGCGTCATTGATTTTGTAATATTGTCGTACTTTTATTTGCTCATAGTTATATGGACCTCTTTGCATACTCAATACTGAAGTGTTGTGGGTGTGTGTCTTCTTGATGAGATGTGTTTACCTTTATCCATTTACTATTAAATTGAATCCAATATAAGAATATTGACGATATCAGTGGCGAAGCTAGGATTCTAAGTCAGGGAGGCAATGAGAGAGTTAGAATCCTCAATAAAAGGAAGACATTTCTATCTCTTTCAAATCAACTATTTCTTTTTTTTTTCTTTTCTTTTCTTTATTCCCTATCAGCGAACTAATGAAAAATATTTACTTAATTTACTCTTGAGTTTTGAATCTTTATTATTTATCATTGTCTTTTTTTTCTAACTAGTTCTTGAGTAATATTTAGGATGAGGAATAAGTCTATTTAGTTATATTAATTTTTTTTCTATTTTTTAAACAATTAATAAATAATATTAGTATTTGGGTATAGTGAAATTGTGGGCTAATATTCATGAGGCTAAGTTAAAAATTTGAATAGATTTGGGCTAAAAAAGTAAGATTGAAATAAATTTAAAATTTAAAATATAAAAATAAGGGGGTGCAAAGTATAATAAGTAAAATGTGTAAATTACAAAATATAAAAATTTATACTCCCAAACATGTCATTTTTTCTAAGTGAGGGAGGCATATGCGCCCCTCAATCACATGTGGCTCCATCACTGGACAATATTAATACTTGGTAATTGATAATTGATGGTGAATTTCATTTTTCCTTTATAATTTAAATAAATTTGGTTGCTTTAAATGATTTTTACTCTCACTACATATCCTTGCATTTCACCTGCCACGTCCTGAAAATAGAGGTGACCGGTATGGGATGTGAACTATATTACACATCTCTTAAGTCTTAAATTGAGAAATTTTTTATTTTACAATGTAATTGAATTTGTACTAAAATTTTTAACATACTTAATAAAAATTATTATAATAAAAGATTGAATATTTTTGTAAAAATTTTGACAGAACCTCTTCTATAAATAGAATCTTCTAAAAATTCTACAATATAATATTTTACACAAAATATAGTTTTAATCAGGAGCTCAACTCCTTCCAATTAGCAAACAACATATATCAAAATAGAAACATAGCTATAGGCTAAGTGGAACACCAAATATTACTTTTCAAAATAAAATACATGAGTTCAAATATTTGCATCAAAAGGGAGATAATGCTTGGCAAAATTGCACCCAAAATAGTTGTATGCCCTTTAGAGGTCAACAGTAGGATCAGCATTAGCTAATGAATCTAAGATCAAAATAACTTTTTAGTGAATAACGTTCCAATCATAACATCTTCTAAAATCAAAATGAATAGCTACCACATTTATATAAATTAAAGTAAAACAATTTAATGTAAACAAATTTTGTAAACTTAAAATAAAAATTCCATATAACTTCAACATCAATAAATTTTAAATTTATAATGACCAAGCGGCTTTAACATTTGATTTTGACAAATCAAAATGATTAAATAATAAATAAGAATAACAATATTTACTAATTGAAAACCATTAAACATTGAATCACCAAT